CACCAGGGATGTACCTCAAGCTGTGAGGTCCACCGGGGACGTACCTCAAGCTGGCTCAATCAGCCTCGGCTGCTACTGCAGAAATTCCTGCTACAGACTGATCTGCCAGGTCCCAGGACACTGGCAATGACACACAAGCCCCACGACCACGTGTCGCTCTGTTTCTCTCCACCTCGCTGTGTACCTTTGGCCTATCCGTAACTCCACGAGGACTTTTACTTTTCCTAGTCATGGTGTTACACCTCTGACAACTGCAGGCAAGCAAGCAAGAATTCTTGCTCCAAACCCCTGTGCTGTTGGGGGGACATGGCCCTCATCTCCTGGGATGCTCCAGGAGAATCACAGAATCACAGCATGGTCAGGGTTGGAAGGGACCTCAGATGATCATCCAGTCCAACCCCCCTGCCAAAGCAGGTTCACCCAGAGCAGGTTGCACAGGGCTGCATCCAGGTGGTTTTAGAATCTCTCCAGAGATGGAGACTCCACCCCCTCCCGGGGCAGCCTGTCCCAGGGCTCTGGCGCCCTCACAGGAAAGAAGATTTTCCTTCAGTTTGTGTGGAAAATTACCTCCTGATATACGCTTACTACCAACACAAGGACACAGGTGGGACAAAAAAACGGTGGGATACTGAACCCCAGTCAGTTGGGAAGCTCCATGACTGGAGGGCAGAGGACAAGGCTTCCATCAGAGACACAGAGCAACATCACTACCAACCACCACCGACAGACAGGGCGATGCTGGGCCCTACACTTGCCGTTATTGAACTTCATCAGGTTCCTCTGCACCCAACTCTCCAGCCTGTCCAGATCTCACTGAATAGCAGCACAGCCTTCTGGTGTAACAGCCATTCCTTCCAGTTTAGTGTAAACAGCACTAAAGGAGAAGAGGAGCCCACTCAAGCAGCTCCTCTGCCATTCCCACCTCCTCAACAAGCTGCAGGCACTCAGTTAATATGTTGTTGATCTTTTCCAGGCAGAGCTGCTCTGGTTTCTCTTGCTTCTCTTTCTCCTTGACATTTCTCCAGGACAGCTTCATTGCCTGTTTCTGAAGCAGCATCATAGGTGGCCGCTTGTACGTCTTGCCTTTGGATGCCAACCACTCCTCCAGCTGTTTCCTGTCAAAGGATCAAGGGATCACTGTTACCACCCCAGCAGACAGCCAGCACTTGCCAGGCTACTGTTTTCTCTTGGAATCTTCCTCTAGCCAACTTCAGCTGCTCAGGAAGAACCAGTACATCTATCCTAAAAATGCATCCAAGCTCTAGGCTGAGAAAGGAAAACTCTCTCTGCCTTGAAGATAAAAAAGGAGAGCAGCCACATGCTCTCCTCCCGCTTGCTGAATTGGTGGGAGAGGAACTCAGGGTACCAACAAATCTCATCCCCACCCTTCTCTTTTGGGACATCAAGCTCCAAGCAGGCATTCACTGATATGGAGACTTTGGAGCCTCTTTCCAGCAGGTTGGTGCTAGTTCACTCAAACACTTTAAACTCTGCTGTCCCCTGGAGGTGAGGACAGTCGGCCAAAGCTGCTACTTACTTACGATCTGCAGCTGATGGGGTCTTGGGAACACGCCTTGCCTGTATTCCACTTGTCTTTGGCAGCTCTGGTTTAAGCCTCTCTCTCTTACTCTTAACATTGCTCTCAACTGCTTGAGTTTTGGAGCTGTGGTTTTGGGCAACTGTCACTAGTGACGTGGCTGTGGGTCTGGGAGGCACCACCTTCACATCCTTCCTATCCATCTCCCTTTTAGCCATGGGCCTTTGCCATTGAGCCATGACGTCTGGTTTCAGGCTGGATTTCAAGTTTGTGGTCCCCTGGGACCTGCTGGAAGCTGGATGCTTTGTGGAAGATCTTTTCAGTTGGGGGGGTCTACTGTGGTCCTTAAAACCTCCCAGTGGACGTGTGAAGAGCAGGTTTTTTTCTACGGGTTCCCTTGCTGTATTAGTTTTTTCCTGGTTTGCCCCCATTTTTTTATGTAGCAAGTTAGTAGAAGCAGTAAGTAACCGAGGGGGCTGCAACGGCTGAGTTTTGACGCTTGGTTTTTGAGACGTGCTCTTTGAGCTTGGCAGGGTTTTCCTGAATTTATCCTGAATTGGCTCTTCCTTAGCCTGGCAGCTATTCATTCTGTCCTTCGGGCCTGTGACAGTTCTTGACATCATGGCTGAGCTTTGCTTATGAGCCAAGACTCTCTTGTTCCCGAGATTGTTCCCATCAGACTGAAAAACTCTGTTCAGCCCAGGGTGCACAGAGGCTTGTGCTCGGATGTTTTCTTTGTTGCAGGCCAGCCTGTCCTGCAGGTCCTCACTTAGGGAGCAAGATGCCCCAGGAGGCAGATGGTCACTTCCAGTCTGAGATGTTGCAGCAGTAACCTGTGCAGGTTTCTTGTTCTTTTCTGGATTTAGGTGACCACAGGCTGAATTTGGGAGCCTCCCTCTGGGCTGCGTAGGGTGGCTCGTGCTTGGCACGAGCCCCAGGGGAAGCTTTGTGCTCTTCCTTGGCTGCTCTGGATGTACCACTGCTGCTCTCTGGGATGTATTTGAAGACTTCTGCTGAGCAGCGTGGCCAGTGTGCCATGTGGATTTGGCACCAAGCTTGCCATCCCTCTGAGCGCCCTTCGCCACATTTCTGAGAGCATCCTTCTTGTTCCTGTCAACCTGGAGAGACAAAGCGAACCTCAGCCTCGAGGAAACCTCAGCTTGGTCAAACCCTGACAACTTGCTCCTGCCCCAGCCCTGCTAGCCCAGGGGAAGTCCACGCAAAGGCCCACGGTGACAAAGCAGTTGTCTACAGAACAATAACACAACACCCATCAGCGCATGGACAAAGGATGAGTTTCCCACACTAAGTTCCCCTGAAAAATAATTAGTTGATTTATTGCCAGCTATTTAACAATCTGCTGACTGTACCCCACTGGGGTAATGAACTCACCAACCTGATTTGGGTACCCCGTTCTGCCCAGACTCGCTTCAAGCGTGAAATACAGAACTAAACTTAAAGATTTCTGCTTACATGCTCTGGTTTAGAAACTGGTTCTAAGGGTGGATTCAGGCGATTCGTCTGGTCCTTTAGAAAAGGTCTGTAGGAAGTCAAACAATGTATCAGGTTATTTAACAGCTGTTGCAGAAAAGGTTAAATATCTAAAATGCTGCTGGGTGTCAGTCAGAAGAGCTTATGAGAAAGTTTGGGAAATCAAAAATCTGTCAAGGAAGTACCACATAATAGGTAATTCTTTTGCATGGCAACAGAGAAGCAACACAAAACATTCACATCAAAGTTTGTCACAAAACCGACAGCTTCCACTGACAACGCAAGTAACCAGAATGGTCCCTGCAGGCAGGGGGGCTGGCAGGCAGGAGACCACAGCAGGTTTGGAGGCTCCTGAGGCTGCTGCCCCTGCCTGACTTCCCGATTTGCCCCACATGCTGCAGGCAGCTGAGGTGCATCTGACTCAGCTGCTGCCATGCCGCAGGTCACAGTGGTTTCCCAGAGCACATCAGCCAGCGTTTCCTCTGCCATGGTGAGCCACAGCGCTGCTGCGGCCAATTCACCAGCCCCTCAGCTGCCCAGGCACTGGCAGCGAAGCGGAGAACTGGGGCAGCAGACCTGGCTTGTCAGCTCCTCCATCCTGTCCTGCTTCTCCTCCTCCCTGAACTGGACCCCTCTGGCAGCAACCAGCTGCAGGGTTCTCCCACCCCTCTGCTCTGGAGCTAGCAGCTCAGCCATTAGGAAAGATTAATGCTTGTACACATATCTTTCTGCAATGAAAAAGCCCGGAGTGTTAGGATATTGTCTTCTATTCTATACAAGTGGTGTCCTAATGCCATAAAGAAAGATCATGGATCTTCTAATTTCTATTCTATTAGTGGTGTTTTCCAAAGCCTGGCACCAGGGACTGGTTTCTTCTTTCTGGTCTCTCCTTCCCTTTATCTTCTCCCCACAGAGAAGTTTTATGGCTTTCTTTGTACTACAATGTCATGAGAAATAGCAGTTGCAACAGGGAATCATTCAAATGTTCAGGATTGCCAAGTGCATCAGCAGTTTCAATTAAAAGCTTTGCAGAAAGGTACCTCGCTACCCACAGCCTGCAAGCCGCTGTTGCACATACAGCGACATAACTGCAGGCAGCCCGGCTCCAGAGGAAGCGAGCGAGGCAGTGAAGGAGTCTCAGAGCCAGGTAACTCATTTAACAGGCGATTGTATCTATTTCCTTTTAAATTCACTGAAAATGCCCCTTCCTAATATTCATCTATCCCAGAAGGCCACTAAAAGCTGACACTGAAAAGCAGTGGTGAGATTTGAAGAGACCCAGTTACGAAACCAAGTTATTGGCAAAAAGTTCTGTCAGACTTTTGCTCTCTGACAAGAGCTGCGATGAGAAAGTTTCAGAGAGACTCAGAAAATACCCAGAAGAGACAATGTCAACCAGCAGGAAACACCAACACTGAAACCATCCCTTTGCTCCTGCTGCCAGTAACTCTGCTGCATGCTGCTGGGGCAGAGCTGTCCCTGGTCACTGCCTTGACAGTGAGGCACTGGGAGGAGTCGATTCTCTGTATGCTAGTGAATCGCTGCGGAGAGAAGGCAGACACTGGCAAGCCGGGAAATCAGCTTTACCTCAGAATTACTGAGTGATTTAGGTCAGAAGAGTCCAAGCCCAACATCCTCCTGACTTACTTTGCACTTGAGTATTTTGGCTTTTCATTGGCTGCGAGGTACATCTGAAGCTGTCTTCTCTGCTCTTCTGCAAAGAGATGATAGGAAAATGTAGTGCCCATACCACAACCTCGGTATTTGGAGTGCCAATAAGAATAGATTTCTTTTACATTCACAGCATTACCATGTGGGTCCCCCATTCTCCCCACCTGAGCCTGGCAATGCTGTTCACAGAAAATCCCAGAGTGTTTCCACACGTGATATTGCCTAGCAGCTCATTGGCACATAAAGACCAGAACTCTCCAATGCTCACGGTGTGATGCTGCTGAAAACCTCAGTTCATGGAATCATAGAATGTTGTGAGTTGGAAGGGACCCATAAGGATCATCCAGTCCAACTCCTGTCCCTGCACAGGACAATCCCAACATTCACACCATGTCCCTCAGGGCCTTGGCCAAATGGTGCTGGAATCTTGTCAGGCTTGGTGCCATGAGCACCTCCCTGGGGAGCCTGTTCCAGTGCTCCACCACCCTCTGCCTCAAGAACCTTTTCCTCATGGCCAACCTCACCCTCCCCTGCCA